GGTGGCCGATATAATTGAATTTATTTTCATTAATATTTAAGAAATTTGAAATCATTTGAAAATGGATTTAAAAATTATTTTGTAAAATAAACATACTTATACTTTACATGACAAAGTATTTTCCACAAATAAATAAATATTTAATAAAAATAGAATTAAAAAGGAAGTAAACTGTAACCAACAGAGCACTCATTATTCTGGGAAGTTTGTGTGCATTGGGAATCATATTATTTCAAATAAAACCAAGGTAACACTGATTTTACATACAGTACACCGTGAAAATGACATGAATATGACAGTGGGCAAAAGCATAAAGCGCAGCATAATTTGAAATCACGAATTTAATGTTTAAAGCATTCAATTTGCACGGACCGAAAGTCACGCAGAGAACACGCGATCATGCAGGTCACATACACACTTCACAAGATCTCACAACTGGATTCGACTAAGTTTGCAAGGTTTGTGAGATTAAATGTTCATTAGTCATTCAAAGATTTGTTTAAATGATGTAAATGCGTATTTGCTGAATGCTGACAGCAAACGAGAAAGTATTAATGTTTGCCTTTCTATTACTAATAATATAAAAGCAATCGTTATAATACTTTTTGGAAACATTTTAATTCCTTTGTTTAACAGTTCTATCGGACTATTAGACAGACTTATATCCGTATTAAACAGAACTATTAACGACGACGGCGAACAAGAGGGAGAATCTGAGCACTATGTGCTTAGGCGCTGCCGCTCTCAGCGCCATCAAAATAAAAGTCCGGAGCGCCGTCAAATGAAAAGTCCCGCCTTGAACGCATCGGCCAAACAGGAAAACTTATTGGCCGATGCCGATATTTGAAAAATGCCAAATATCGGCCGATATATCGGCCATGGCGATATATCGGTCGACCACTACCTGGGAGGCCATTGAGAATGGATGTGATCTCTATGGGCTTGACGGGCATCTGCTGGCTTCCTTTATCACCACACTCCTCCATCTTGGAGAAAACATCACTGCCAGAGTTCGGTTTGGTCAATCGATTGATGCGATTTTTGGACGAAGGAAGATCCTCTCTGTCTGTCAGTCGCTCTATTCGGTCTCTTTCTCGTTCTGCTTTATTCTGCTATTAAACAAAAACTTCAAATTAATGGTGCAGCCCCTCTAAACATGAATATGCATGAAGAATACACTACTGTTTAAAAGTTTGGAGTCAGTAAGATTTAAAAAAAAAAAAAAAAATCAGAAATCACTTTTATTCAGCAAGGATATATTAAACTTATCAAAATATAAATAAATGCTCTTCTTTGAACTTTCTATTCACAGTAAAAACAAACATGTATCACGGTTTCCACAAAAATATTGGGCATGTCACCATTTTCAACATTGATAATAATGAGAAATGTTTCTTGAGCAGCAAATCAGCATATTAGAATGATTTCTGAAGATCATGTGGCACTGAAGACTGGAGTAACGATGCTGAAAATTCAGCTTTGATCACAGAAATAAATTACATTTTACAATATATTACAACAGAAAACAGTTATTTGAAATTGTAAAAATATTTCAGAATTTTTACTGTATTATTAATTAAATAAATGCAGCCTTGGTGAGCAGAAGAGACTTTCAAAAACGTTTAAAAAGTCTTACAGACCCCAAACTTTTGAAAAACAAGTAAAAAAGAAAACCTCCTTAAGGAAATCAGACTGTACCTTTATTTTTTTGCGGTGCTTTATTTTAGAGACGTTCTTATTGGCTGGTCTGACAATCTTATCGGCTTTGATCCACTCGTCATACCTGTTAAGAGAGACAGATCGGTCAACATTTACTAAATATACGGCTCCAAAACTCATGAAACACTGTTTTGTTGCAATTGCAAGATATTGTAAAAATAACGAGATATTACATTACACGAGTCACAACTGCAAGATATAAAACACTGCAAAAGAGACAACATGACTAGTATAAAACATCAAAGCAGCAACAAGGTTTTCAGAAGGTCCTGCTTTGCTATTTTTGTCAGCAACACAGAAATGAGCTTCAGGATCAGAAATGTCCACACGACACACACTCAAATCCAAGCCTAGTTTTAAGGGCTGTTCATACTGACAGCGATTTGCAATGGCAAAGCAACCGAAATCATTCATTTTCAAAAAGTCTGCAATGTGTCAAATACCAAATGCACACCTGACTTTTTTCTATAAACCACCCAGAAACGCTCTTCACATGCTTAAAAGATGATGATCAGAGGCTGTATCCGTCTATCACTAAGCTGAGCAGTTTCCACAGGACGACACATGAACCTAGAAAGCACTTCCTCAATCAGGCAAATTATTATTTAAACACATTTCCACATGTTAAAACCAAGAAAGCTGTGGTTGGTCACTTGATGTGTTCGTCAAGCAGCAATACAGCGCAGCAGCAGCGACGTATTTTTGTAGGCCGACACGTAAGTTAGCGCCAACCTGGTTCCCTCCACAAAAACCCAATAGGACTTTTCCATTGGCTCTTGAATGATTACACATTTTGCTCATGCTAATCTTCACAAATGGACACATTTTGAAGCCTCGGCGGGAGTAAAAAGCTAAACGTAGGCTATAAACGAACTACACCATGGTCGCATCAACATCCCCTCCATTAAGCTTCAATAACTCCTTCAGTCTTTATTTAAAAACATGTTCACCCGGAAGTCTGAGTTAGAACAGTATGCACAATTATAAACATGTGTAGATGAGTTCCTGTTGAAAAAAACAGCATATGCTGGTTAGGTATGTTTTGAAGCATGACTGCTGGTTTGAGCTGGTTTAAGCTGGTCCTTAGCTGGTCATGAGCTGGTTTAAGCTGGTCATATGCTGGTCCTAAACTGGTCCTGAGCAGGAGCTAGTTGCTTAGGACCAGCATATGACCATCTTAAACCAGCTCAAGACCAGCTTAGGACTAGCACATGACCATCTTAAACCAGCAGTCATGCTTCAAAACATACCTAACCAGCATATGCTGGTTTTTTCCTATGTGAAAATATCTTATGTTCACGACAGACCTGATTTCAGACATTTAACCAAAAACCCTTTTCAAAAAACCATCTGACTTCAGGACGATGGAAATGGAAGTGCTAGAAAGCTTGGTTCTGGACTTCGCCCCACACAAACACGTCATCCCTGCAGACTTTCTGACTCCAGTGCCATAATCTGATTGGGGCTACCAGCTTCTTTGTAAATGCAAACAGATTAGGCGTGAGCTCCCAGGGTCCTGCCTTACCTGACGTTCCAGCCACAGTAGTGCACCAGGTAGAGCACCTCTCCCCCCTCCAGGTCTGACTCTTTCACAGTGGCTTCGTACGTCTTCTGATTGTGGCCTCGCCCATACCTCACCTGCACCTTCATCCCAGGACGGTAACACTCAAACTCCTCCCCTTCCTCCCACTCCTGACTGCTGACATCCCTGCAAGAAAGACAATTCAGTACTTCCTGTTTCCTGGCACTAGACTTCCCTCCCGACTGCCCTCCCCAAAAAACCCTCCCCAAAGTGAGCTCACTGTCTCAGCCTAGTGCTTCTGGAATCTAATTATCCTCATCTTTCCCTGTCGGATAAGTCTAGCAATCCACCTGATAGGATGAGATTATCGGAAGAAGACATTATGGGGTCATCAGCCAGCTGTCTGAACCTCAACCTGGAATATACTGAGAACTACTGCCTGTTTAAAAGGAATGTTTCACCCAAAAATGAATCTCCTGTCATCACTTACTCACCCTCATGCTGTATTTCTTATGTGGAACATGTCAGAAGTTTTCCAAGCTGTTCTTTTCCACATAATAAAAGCATATGGTGACCAGTGGCTGTCAAGCTCCAAAAAGTACTGAAATAAATAAAAGTGCTCCATACAAGCTGTGCATCCATGCATTTTGAAGTTGGAATAAGGGCTGTTGGAAATAAGCAATCACCACCTTTGCTCATTGGTAGTCGACTTTATACAGAAAAAAATCTGAATAAAAAAATAAATACTTGGATACTACTGAAACCTATTTATATAACTTTATTATATATAAAAACATTATAAAGGATATATTATGAAATATTAAAATTAATATAAATTATTATTATTATTTATAAAAATAAAAAATTCTAAAAAAATTAAAATTACTACTATTAATATTAAATAATTTATATAAGTAAATGATTGTATACTAGTTAAACATCTACTATATATATATATCATCCAGTTATTCCATTTATTATACATCATTTTTTTTAATATATTAAATAAAAAAATTACAATTAATAAATAATTGTACACTAGTATACAAAATATATAAAATATGTATACAAAATATGTAGATGTTTCACTAATATCTAATTATGTATTATTTATTTTTACAGATATATATTATTTATAATTATATTATAAAATAAATTAATAAATAACTGGACACTGGTGAAACATCTACAATAATACAACTGCAAAATGTGCACAGCCACTTTTAAATGATTTTGTACCATTATGGTGTAGTTACGGCATCTACTAGTAGGGACTAACTATTCATACTAACCAGCCAAACCATGTACAAAATTCCTCAATAGTAATAAAGCCCTTAAAATCACATTTATGGTGTTTTTCTTGGTCTTTTTGGAGCTTGACGGCCTGCGGTCATTATATGAACATGCAGCATGAACATTCTGCTAAACGTCTCCTTTAGCGTGCCACAGAAGTCAGTCAGTCATACGGCTTTGGACCAACATGACGGCGAGTAAATTAGTTTTCTAACCTTAAAGATATTTCAAATGTGACTTTGAACTTGAGTTCAGGATGTGTGCGTGTGAAAGGGAAAGGGTCAGAGTGCAGCGAGAGGCACAGCGAAGCTCAGCAAGGGGGCAAATCACAATCACGTTAGAGAGCAGAGAGGAAGCCACATTAGAGAGTTAGCACACCGAACCCTACCGCTCCGCCGAGGGTAATGACTACAGTGTGGACAGTTCTACCAAGACACAACCCTGGTTAATTAGCAGCAGACAACTCAACTAGTGATGCAACGACTAGGCAGGACCCTGGTTCCACATAGTTATTTGATTCACTCGGAGCAAAACAATACAGAAAATGGAGGGGAAAAGCACCACTGGAGATGGAGGAGAAAAGCATCTATGAAGACCAGCTAACTCAAGAAGATTGGATTAGTTAGGCAAGTTTAATCTCAAAAGACATTCGAATCAGAGTCAATGCAACCAGATTTAATTTATGGACTACAGACCAGCAGTAGAGGAGGGAATCGTTAGAAATTCAATGACTGCGATTCCATTTTTAGTTCTGGTTCCTTAAAGGAGTAGTTCACCCAAAAATGAAAATGTACTGAAAATGTCCTCCCCCTCAAATCATCCAAGATTAGGATGAGTTTGTTTCTTCATCACATCTGGAAAAATGTAGCATTGCATCACTTGCTCAGCAGTGAATGGGTGCCGTCAGAATGAGAGTCCAAACAGCTGATAAAAACATCACAATAATCCACACCACTCCAGTCCATCAGTTAACATCTAGTGAAGAGAAAAGATGCATATTTGTAAGAAACAAATCCATCAAGACGTTTTAACTTTAAACTGTTGCTTCCAGATAAAATACGAGCCCATAATCCATAATAACGCTTCCTCCAGAGAAAAAGTGTTCTGGTCTGAATCAGGAGAGAAATCTGCACAGATCAAGCAGCGTTTAAACAGCTCTAAACAAATATGTGGCTGGATTTTGATGTGAGAGACAACAGGAGATGCACTTTTTTCACTGGTTATTATGAATCATGGACTTGTATTTTAGCCGGAAGCAACAGTTTTACTTGATGGATTTGTTTCAGCTTTTGTCTTCTCCAGACATTAACTGATGGACTGGAGTGCTGTGGATTACTTGTGGATTATTGTGATGTTTTTATCAGCTGTTTGGACTCTCATTCTGACGGCACCCATTCACTGCAGATCATCCATTTCTGAGACACTCATGCAATGCTACATTTCTCCAAATCTGATGAAGAAACAAACTCATCCTAATCTTGGATGGCCTGAGGGTGAGTAAATTATCAGCTCATTTTAATTTTTGGGTGAACTGTTCCTTTAATGATTTCACAATTCTGTTAGTACTGTTGAGTTAGTTCAGAGTTCAACATGACTAAACACCTGCAAGCCATTAAACAAAATCAATTCTATAGCTTATGAGATCCATTTATGAAACAATAATGGAACTGTAAGTCTTATATAATTCCATTACACTCTTAAAAATAAAAGGTTCTTCATTGACATCGATGGTTCTGTGAAGAACCTTTAACATCCATTGAACCTTTCCATTCCACAAAAGGTTCTTTATAGTGTAAAAGTGTTCTTTAGATTATTAAAATTATTATGTTCACTGGAAGGTTCTTTGGGGAACCAGAAATGGAACCTTTTATTTAGGTTATTGGAACCTTTACTTTTAAGAGTGTTTTTTTTATTTTTTTGGAAAACAGAAAGGCTTCTTGATTCCCAACCCTAACCAGGCACAAATCTCCACATGATCTCAGCATCAGGGTCTGTTTACATCCACAGAACATCTCACAACAACACAGCAGAACACTAAAGGCATGATATGAGAGAGCAGAAAGTGTCAGGAAACACTTTAAACAGTGAAGGGCAGCAGTGGTAGAGCTCAACTAGTCAGTCCATCGCTTCAAAGTCACACCTGAAGAGTAAAAAACAAAACCTAAAACCCCCAAATCACAGATTTGACTAGAAAACAGTGAACACAAAAACAAGGCGGGAATAACTCAGAACCAAACAGATTTTTTGTTTTTCAAACAAATTGTTTTATTTTTTTTTTAAAGAAATTAATTATTTTATTCATCAAGGATGCATTCAATTGATCAAAAGTGTCAGTAAAGACATTTATTTATGTTACAAAAAATTATATTTCAAATAAATGCTGTTCTTTTGAACTTTCTATTCATCAAAGAATCCTAAAAGATAAAATGTATCACAGTTTCCACAAAAATATTGTGCAGCACAAGTGTTTTCAACATTGATAATTAGAGGTCGACCGATAGTGGATTTTGCCGATACCGATAGCTAGGTTGGACCACACTGGCCGATACCGATTAATTAACCGATTGTTTTAAAATTGATACTGAACAAAAACTAAAATAGTGCTTTATTAACAAAAACAGTACTGAACCATACTAGTAGTAAAAATAATAATAATAGTAATACTGAACATACTGAACAAAAACTAAAATAGTGCTTTATTAACAAAAACAGTACTGAACCATACTAGTAGTAAAAATAATAATAATAGTAATAGTAAATGTTATTAGAATAGTACTTGATGATTATCTAATCAAAATAAAAGCGCAGCGCTGAGTCTAGGAGAACTCAATGGTATCACACACACTCCGGACGCGTCGCCTTCAACACGAGCAGCGGTCTAAAACAGTTATTTAATCACCAAACAGACACAAGTTTACTTCAAGAATGAACAATTTGGCATGGATGAGTTTGAAGTTCGGTGTTTAAAAAATGGAGCAAACAGAAAGAGGAAGCGCAACCTATATTATATCTCTATAAATGAAGCACACAGACTTTATTAGAGCCACAGAAAGACAAACGTTTTGCTGAAAATGCACAATACACAATTCATTATGTACATTAACAACGATTCGGGACTAATATAATGTAATTTAATGGAAAACTATGTGAATGGCGCTCTGTGGTGCGGCAGGATTTTCTGTCGGCTGCATTTAAATCTGCGTCTAAAGTTTCCCGCTCTGTTCAGCGTGCAGTATCACGTGTCTAAACAAATAGCACGTGCTGTCAGTGATTTCAACCACTAGAGGCCGCTCTCGCACTGTATAATGACAGCAGACCCTTCTCAGCCGCTCCAGCAATGGACGCAACCCGGAAAACTATCGGCATGGATTTTTGCTGATAACCGATAGTTCCAGCAATCAACTATCGGTGCCGATTAATCGGCAAAACAGATACATCGGTCGACCTCTATTGATAATAATCAGAAATGTTTCTCGAGCAGTAAATCAGCATATTAGAATGATTTCTGAAGGCTCATGTGACACTGAAGACTGGAGTAATGATGCTGAAAATTCAGCTTTACATCACAGGAATAAATTACATTTAAAAAATATATTAAATCACAAAACCGTTCTTTTAAATTGAAATAATATTTTAAAATTTTTACTGTATTTTTGATCACATAAATGCAGCCTTGGTGAGCAGAAGAGACATCTTTAAAAAAACGTTGTGTACCAGGTTTTGAATCTTATCGTAAAGAAATTCAATCTGATGAAATTTAACTACGGTCTTTTTCCGTCACTGTGAAATAACAGCTGTGATGTGTTATATTATAGAAAATTCACAGGAATTGATTCACACGATACTGACCATTTAAATAAAACGATTTCAAACGGACAAATAAATTGTCCAGCGCAACGGAAAATAAGAACTGAGGTTTTTTCGGCTCATGCATTTTCAAGGTGTAACAACCTGCTGTTGAAAAAAGGGGAAGAGAGAGAGAAAGCAAGCTAAAAAGAGCGAAAGCTTCGGCCAACGTGCAGTTTCCTAAAGACCGTCATGCTTGGCTTTAGCGTCTCATCCAGACAACATCCACAAATAAAATCAGTGAGATATTTTCACAAGAACTAAGGTCATACAATTATGAAGTGCTTTCATGATCGTAATCGAGCCATCCCTAACAACAACTCTCATTTTCTGCATGTTTCTCACTCAGTCTTCCTCAGTTTTGTCTTCTGTAGAGCTGCTTATAGCTGAATTGAACTCGTTTCGTGATTGATGAACTTCAGTTACTGAACGGAGCTGAATAAAGTTTTTAGAGCTGCTTCACAGCAGAGTTTGTCTCATATTTGAATAAGTTTGCATCATTTATTTCTGTGAAGCTGCTTCCAAACACTCTGTATTGTTTAAAGCGATATACACTACCAGTCAAATGTTTGAGCATTAAGATTTTTAATGTTTTTTAAAGGAGTCTCTTTTGCTCACCTAGCCTGCATTTATTTGATCAGAAATACCGAAAAAGCAATTATATTGTGAAATATTTTTACTATTTAAAATAACTGCTTTCTATTGTAATATCTGTTAAAATGTAATTGATTCCTGTGATCAAAGCTGAATTTTCAGCATCATTACTCCAGTCTTCAGTGTCACATGATCTTCAGAAATCATTCTAATATGCTGATTTACTGCTCGAGAAACATTTCTGATTATTATCAATAGAGGTCGACCGATGTATCTGTTTTGCCGATTAATCGGCACCGATAGTTGATTGCTGGAACTATTTGAGAAACAGCTGAGTAGAATTTTTTCAGGTTTCTTTGATGAATAGAAAGTTCAGAAGAACAGCATTTAGCTGGAATAGAAATCTTTTGTAACATTACAAATGTCTTTATCATCACTTTTGATCAATTTAAAGCATCCTTGCTAAATGAAAGTATTAATATCTATAACACCCCACCCCCACAAAAAAAATAATAATTTTTTAATTATACTGACTCCAAGCTTTTGAATGGTAGTGTATAATTTTACAAAAGCTTTTTATTTCAGATAAATTCTGATCTTTGGATCTTTCTATTCATCAAAAGAATCCTGAAAAAATGTACTCAACTGTTTTAAATATTAATGATAATAACAAATGTTTTATGAGCAGCAATTCAGTATATTAGAATGATTTCTGAAGGATCATGTGACACTGAAGACTGGAGTAATGATGCTGAAAATTCAGCTTTAATCACAACAATAAATTACATTTGAATATATATTCACATAGAAAACACTTATTTTAAATAGTAAAAATATTTCACAGTATTACTGCTTTTTTCTGTATTTTGGATCAAATAAATGCAGGCTTTGGAAGCAGAAGATAATTCTTAAAAAAAACATTAAAAATCATACTGTTCAAAAACTTTTGACTGGTATTGTGTATATATATATATATATACAGTGGGTACGGAAAGTATTCAGACCCCCTTCAATTTTTCACTCTTTGTTATATTGCAGCCATTTGCTAAAATCATTTAAGTTTAACATTAAGAAAGTGCTGTCACTTTAAGAGAACGCACTGATCCAGTGCACTGATACTGTACGTTCAGCCGGCTATGTCTGCTAAGATACTCACCAAGACGGGCATTTTGACAATTTTTGTGTGAATTTGTCCATTCAAACACAATAGTTCACAGAGAGCTTAATATTTGTGCGCGTTTTGTGCGGGTTCACGCGCTTCAGATGAGCGCACACACAGATCTTCTCACTGCGCGCGCGAGGTCACGTCTTCCGGCTCTTTAATATTTAAACTGGCAAGGCTTAAATGAGTTTAAACACAGATAGCAACGTATGCTGTTCAGGTCTCACCTGCGCTATCAACACGTGATGACGGCACAAATGACAGTTATTCCAGCATAAAGCACTCGCATTGATTAAAGAGTGATAAACACAGATACCAACGTGTGCTGTTCAGGTCTCACCTACGTTATCAACACGTGATGACGGCATAAATGACAGTTATTCCAGAATACAGCACTCGCATTGAACAAAGAGTGAGTTTATCCAAGTATTGTTTTTTTTTTCTCTCATCGCTCTTGTTGTAATGTATTGGGGAGCCAGAATTTGTATTCATCAACAGAAACATGCATTAGCCGAACTCTAACAAACCATATTACAGATGCATTGTCAGATTTAAGTTGAACCGCGGGTCCTAGTGTATGCCGAACCGTGTGTGGAAAACTGTACGGTTCGATTTTTTACCGAGAACCGTTGCACCCCTAATATATATATATATATATATATATATGGGTCAAGGACGACATCTCTAATTATTTTATTATTAATGTTTTTCTTATACTCCATTTTTTAAATTTCAGTTATAGTATAGTATTTGTGTATGGGTCAAAGACGAAAAAGGGCTTAAACATAAAAACAATAAGTGTAATACTGCTTTAAATTATTGTTGTTTTTCCCAATTATTTTTTTAAGTTTTCGGTTTAATTTAATTGCAATTTTGTTTTTGTTTTTCAGAGCAAAAAATAAATATCATACATTTTTCCCTGATTTACAGAAGAGACCCAGTAAAATCCATTCAGTGTAACAATCTTGTCAGGCATATTTACAACGAAAGTCAATTTATGACATTTTAAAAGACTAATTACTTTGACCCCAAATACTAATTAGTTGTAGTTTTACATTTTTTAAATTTGCCACTATCCTTAGGTTTTGCCCATTTGCCAGTAAGAATTTTTACTCATTTAAAACGTAATAAAATTTTATATGCTCCCTTATTCTTTTATATATTTTAATATGTACTTAACGTCTTTGACCCATATATATATATATATATATATATATATATATATATAAATAAAGGTGACTTGACTCTTCATCCCTCTTTTTTCCCTCATCAATTATTTCTGCACTTTCAGAATCTCTCCATCTTCACCTCTCATGCACTGATCTCATTTTTGTCTCCGTTTCTCTCTCTCTCCCATGATAATCTCCTTCAGAGATCCACAGAGCCATGCCCTGAAGCTCAGACAGGAAGCACTGATGCTCAGACAGGAAGTGAGGCGGATTCAGGTTGCACCTACCCTGACAGATCTTTGTCGTCGGGTTCCTCGCATGGTTCCTCCTCCACGCTCTCAGTGACGGGACTCAGCGCTGTCGGGACGCATTCTCTGGCCTCCTCTTTCGTATCGCTCTCCTCTTCATCAGCGTGGTTATCCTCCTCCTCCTCCTCATTTACACTGCTGATGTCCACTTTATCTTCACAAGGTGCCGTGGATTCTGCGTTCTCCTCCTGAGATCAAATAACACGTCATCTTCAATAATATGCTTTTGCGATTAATATTATTTGACCCTAATTAAACTCTGATTTAGCTACATTTGTAAATGCATCATGGTTTTTGTTTCAGCAGCTTGTTTTGGGAAAAAAGCCTTATAGCCTTATTCATAATGCCTTATGAATATACATGAGGTCAGAGAACCCTGCTGAGAGACTAATTAACAGGGGAAGATAGCGGCTGTGCTTCAAATGCAATAGTAGTGTACTGCTTCCTGCACTGTATGTAGTGTATACTGCTTACAGCAGCTTTGGAACTGTGAGAAAGTACTTAGTTACACTATAAAGTTGCTAGCAAAAAGTAGCTAACAATATGGTGACAATATGTTTTAGATAATTATCAATTGAACATATATAATAAAAAATAAAATAAAAATACTGTTACTGATTACATTAATAAAAAACAGCTAGTGATCACGACATGAACACTAACTAAATACATTTTGTCCATCTATGCAGTCATTACACATGAAACACACACACATATATATAATACAAAAAGTAAATAAAAAAAACAGTAAAGTTAGTAGTGTCACTATTTTTAGTTAATTAATTAAAAGTATAAATAGCTAAAACAAGTGTAAATGAAATATAAATATAAATGGAATATGTATATATTTATAAAATATAACATGTATAAAATGTATATATATATATATATATATATAAATAAAAATTCACATTTTTAATCAATGATTGATTGATTGATATTTTTACTATTTAAAATAACTGCTTTCTATGTGAATATATTGTGTATATATATATATATATATATATATATATATATATATATATATACACACACACACATACACATACATATGCAATATTTGAAATTGATTAAAAAAGATGTGAAGTATCATTGACAATATACTGCATATTTTGCCAAATGTAGTAGATAATGAGTGTATTGGATGCATGCAGCACAGATGCAGTATGGGTAATATGAGTAGTCTGCCATATTTCAGACACACCCTGAGATGATGATGCTCCAGTACCTCGACCACATGTGGGCTGCTGGAGGTCTCTGGTTCTTTGAGGGCTTTCTGTTCTTCTCCTGCGCTGGATGTGCTTAAAGAGACAGCGTTTCCGCCGCTGACCGCTTCCTCCGCGCTCACCTCGCTCTTTGAGCTCGTCTTCTCGCCCGTCTTATATGGCAGATCCATGCGGAACGTGACTCTCGTGGAGGCGCAGTAGTCCTCAAAGCCATACAGGTACCTGCAGGAGGTTCAGCATCACAGATCACCACATCCAATAACCAGCTTCATGGTGTCGTCTCATGGTATCAGATGGTAATAATATGGTCAACTAGCATTAATTTTGTCAGCAAATTTTGATTTAGTTTTAGTCATAGTCTTTTGACTAAAATGCCATTTAGTTTCAGTCATATTTTAGTCATCTGAATTGTTTTTAGTTTTAGTCGACTAAATATCAAAATATTTTAGTCGACTAAATCTACAGTAAATATAGTCGGCTAAAATCTAATGGGTTTAGTTACAGTGCATTTATTAAGCATTTCTCTAAAATTTCCAAACTCATTATATAGGTTTGATTTTAAGGTTTTATCATGATAGACACCGATTTAACTGTGGTGACACACAACATGCCTTTATGTTAAAATGAAATAAAACCACTTCTCATAAAGAACAAGAACATGGTCTTGTTTTTAATGAAATACCAATGGTTAAATAGGCTAATTATGCATTCTTTATAGCAACTTGTTTACCATATTCTTAATTATTTCAAGCAGACATTTATTTCTATAAATACATTTAGATTAATCTTTAGGGCTACTAAAGTTTTTCAGTCAAGAGCAGTGCATGATTTTCTGTCTTTCTGTTGTTGCTTGATTAACATCAATGATTTGGATAATAGCAACTAAATTAGGCTGCTGTC